GGTACACTGGACCCATTTTCCATGTGCCTGTGGATCTGTACACGTGTGTTTCTCAGCAAAAATCCTGATGGCCTCAGCTGCTGAAACCAGCAGGACACCTTTGCACAGAAGGACCAGTCGGGCTGGTTGCCACCTACATGGTTTCCAGCCTTAAAGGCCTTCAATCTTGATTGCATATTGATGTTCATCAGGAAAGTGATTGGGAGCAGCAAAGGCAGAAAAAGATTTTGGTGTGCAAATTTGGGGAGACCATTTGCATTTGAAAAATCATTTGTGCAGGTTTAGGACAGGCTTGAGGCACACATAGTTTGTCTGGCTTATCTGTCAGGATTTGAGTACCTAAATTGTCTTCTGTTAGGATAGTCCTGGAATGACATTTGAATCTGGACCCTGTTTACCTGCTTTCTGCCAAACCAGAATTTTACRGAGTTGTTACTGTAAGGCACACACRAACAGCTGCTGCTGAAAGCTGCGTGGGTTCCCCAGCAGTTTACTGATTGCCTCTCAGAGCTGAAAATGAATTATTTTTCTACATCTGCTTAATGGCTGTAATCTCGGCATCACCACAGTATAAATCAGGGGAATAGWGTTGGAATATTTTACAATAGGAAAAGCTACTCAATAATTCCACAGTATATTGAGCTATATGATTTCTTTATCCAACTAGAAGAACTTGACTGTGCCTTGTCCTACGGTGTTGACAAGGACMAGCAATTACAGTTTGCCCTCTTTTTCTCACTCAAGAGGAAAAGTTGTTGCTATACAGGAATGGCTCCAAACTTGTTAATCAGTCATGAAACTAAATATTCATTGTTGGTCCTCTTTTTTTTTTTTTTTCTTTCCATCCGTGCTTCTGCCAGTTACCTTTAGGCCAAACATTTGTATGTAAATTACTCAGTTATGAGGGAGTAAAAAAAAACAACTGTTGGGATTTATCTGTAGGGATCTCTCCAGCACAAATGCCACCAAAATTCCTGCAATGCGTGGTCAATTCAGGAGGTCCAAGCATATCGCAGGTGGACACAGATCAGCTTTTTGGGTACCTTCAGTTGTGCTCAAGTCTTGCCTGATAATTACTGGGGACTGATTCAGACACCTACATTCTACATCACAATGTCTTAAAAAGAAGGTTAATGAGGAAATTAATATAAAGATACTATATTTTAATGTCCGCATGACCCATAATGTGCCACAATGTAGGTGCTGGATTAGTAGGTTCAGAGATGGAACTTTGTAAAA